CAGCAGGCCAGGCAGCATCAGAGGAGCAGGAAAGTTGATGGTTCGGGGCTATTTCTGAAGAAGGGTCCCGACCCAAAATGTCAGCTTTCCTGCTCCTCTGATGCTGCCTGGCCTGCTGTGCTCCTCCAGCTCCACACTGTTATCTCCAACTCCAGCATCAGCAGTTCTTACTATCTCCAGCCTTATTTTCATGCTCACTTCCCGCTATGGGCCTGTACATGGATAAATCCAAGTTCACTTTATTTCAGCATTAAAACTGATTCACTTTAAATTGTCACAAACTTTCAAAACAGAGTAAACAGGCATTAGTCATTTAAACACAAATAGAAGCAATGTTTTGAAGCATCATCATTTTGGACTGAAAACGTTAACTTTGTTACTCTCTCCACAGATACTGCCAGGCCTGCTCAGCTTCTCCAGCATATTGTGAATTAATAAAAATAATGTTAAATGGAATTCAGAATTAGATGTTTAAGATGAGTGAGAAGTGAGAATAACCAGTGTGGAAGCAATTTTATCTCACAAAATGAATAAAAGGAATGCAAATTCATATTTTGTGAACATTATCAACACATTCATAGGAAACTGTTAGTGATCTTGTTTTAATAGATTTTCCTTCATATCGATGTCAATGCTGTACAAATTGAACTTCTACTTCAATAAAATCAAACAGAACATGTCCTGGAGTCCAGCCTCACTGCCTGAAATGTTCACAGGACAGGACTGGTTTACTCTGTACTGGTATTAGAATACATTGTATACCCCGGGCATCTTATAACATACAATATTATAAAAGTCCAAAGCAGCTTTAAAAAGGAAACTATACTAAACAATTGTGCTAGAACTGGTAGATATTGTTTGCAAATAATGGGTGCCCCATTTAAGATGTCAAGACTTCTTTTCCCCCGAGTTTTGAGTGTCATTGGAATTCTCTTCATAAAAAGCAGTGGAGGAAGGGCACTGAATTTTAAGGCAAAGGTGGATGGGGATTCTTGGCTAACAAGGGAGCAGGAGGAAAAGTGTGGAGTTGGGCCCACGATCTGATCAGACATGATTGCGACAAATGGTGGGAGCATTCTCAAGGGGCCAA